ATGCCAGTATGCTATTCCACTGTTCATAAACTCATCCTCTAGAGCGGAATAATCACCTAGTCTTGGATGAGATATATCAGGATTGCCCAAATTGAAAATACCATCGTAAGGTTGTACACTGAATGCTTCGCCAGTTATGTTTGTGAATAACCCCTTTCAACAATCTGAAGATCAAAATACGCCATACTGGGGTCTGAAATAGCCGGGCCTCCACATTAGAGTCTTGTATATAAACGTACTTTTAAAAGTACGTAAACTTTAGTTTCCTTTAATGGGGTTTAACGGTTTTTTTAATTAAAAATACCTTTTCCATTTTACATATCAGATATTTGGACAAGGCCATTAAAAGGCCTGATTCTATAATCGAACTATATTTACTTTCCAAATCTATTTATATCTGGATACTTCGGTAGCGAGATGGATCAACCGAACATAGGTTTCTAAGGACTATTAGCGTTGCTTAGTTTGTCCTCCGTTTAGCCAACCAGATGTGCCAGTCTGATGAAGGCTAGTCGGTATTTCTTGATAAGGGATAATAATATTTATTTCAAAAATGGCAAGTATGTATGATACAATGTAAGAACATATGGTATGGCTCTCATAGTCGCTGTAATGGTTCAGGAAAGATTGATGGGAGTCCGTGATTTGTAGATGCGTGACCATACTTCCGGGGTTTGAAGTTGAAATCTCCCCACACGACATCTGGTTGGAAACCGCCAATCTCGGGGGTATTCATGTATCGCCTACGAGGAACTCGAGTTTCCTAAATGTGCTCTTAATAGCACGAGGAACTTAAGTTTCGTAAAATGGTTTTTAATGGTTTTATTCATTAATACCTTTTCCATTTTAACATATCAGATATTTGCATGAGGTCATTAAAAGGCCTCAGTAAAATACTAAACATAAAGAGTTGGTCTAGTTCTATTAATAGAACTTTATTTACTTTCCAATTTTATTTATATCTGAATACTTCGGTAGCGAGATGGCTCAACCGAATATAGGTTTCTAGGGACTATTAACGTTACCTAGTTGATCCTCCGATACACCAACCAGATGTGCCAGTCTGATGAAGGCTAAGTCGGTAATTCTTGATAGTGGCAAGTTATTGGTTAAGACAATAACTAAGGACGTCAAGAGTAATTTTCTTTTTCCTTTTCTTTTTTTCCTAAAGATAGGATTTTATGAGTCTCTCGGATTCGCCCCAGAATAGAGCGACAACGAAACACTAAATAAAATCCCTTCGGCGGAAACAGTACTGAGAGGATTATATATAGGCAATGTCTCAGCCTCACAATCTCTCAGAGTATTGCTGTTGTCACGAGGTAACCTAATTTTACTAAACGTCTCATTTCGTTTATTTATATCGATATTTACACGATATTTAAAATTTACCTACGCGTTTATTTATTCGAAGGCATTGGTATCGCCTTTATTAAACCGAATCTTACATATACACCACGGCGGGTGGTCAAACACGTGTAAAGTCGGGAGCGTTACCATCTTTTAAACCTGTTGTGGACAATCTATCAGATGAACTTACAAAACCAACGCCGCAGCAACGTCGAGATGTTTCCGCCATCAGACAGATAGTAGTGTCATCTTCTTTTAGTTCAATATTTTCGTCCGGAAGATCGACACTTTGGTCCGCTACCGTACGAAATGCAGTGCTGAATAGTGTCGCACCCATTCTACAAACTCACATGGAACAAATACGCGACACTCCTACAGCTATACCACAAGCTGTATCTCTCACAAGTGCTGAGGTATTCATTGGGAGGCTGAGTAAAGATGATAGGCTATGAAACACGTTTACCGGAGAGCCATCAGTTGTTACTTTGCAAAGGCTGTTTAAATATTGGGATGCTATTGCACACTTGAACAAAATGCGACACTATAATGTGCGTGTACGCACAATGCTGGCAAGAGAACACTACTCTAACAATGTCAGTGTAGATGTTGACGAAGAGATTACGCCACCCCCAAATATGTAGGACGCAGATTTTACATTCAGACCCAAATGGGACAGACTGGACCTTTGTGAACAATTTATATGCTGGATAACACAACTTCGCTACAACCGTTATACCCCTGCTGACACATGTATTCAATTTGATATTTCACGCATACAGCCAAGACCGTGTATATTACTAGAACATATGCAGTAGTGGAGATTATACGTAAAAGCCAGTCAATACCAACAAACCGACAAAATGCAAAGCACGTCCAGCAACACATGTCTACAAATATGTGTCTTTTGACTGAGTGCAGTCCGTGGTTTTTGGACTGCACCGGAAAAAAAACTGAGGATCCATACAATATAGCACCTGCAATCCATACATATTTTCCATGGATAAGATGGGTGCAACTAGCAAACATTGTGGTTGCTATAGTCACAGCTCCTAACCCTGGATCCGCAACCGATAATTCCATTGTAAAAAATGATTGGTTTGGATATAGGCTATCGTGTGTATGTTGTAGTGCTGTATTTGTATTCGACAAAGGATTGACGGATAAGCACAAGCTAGAAACAGACGGTGTGCACGTAATTTGTCCCCGGAAGAAAGCCCGGGGACAAATTGCTTTTGACGACGAAAGAAAACACGGCGACAAACAAATAGTGGTATATCGCATCCACATAGAACGAAATAACGAAGAACTACAAAACCATTGCACATGGGATGGTGGAAGATTAACTCTTTCGAAGGTAGATTTGCATGTACAAGAATCGGAATGTATAAGAGGCGTGGTAAACTTAAAGCCTCCTATACATGACTGGTTCTTGCCATTAAATTACAGAATATCCCAACCAAAAAAGAGAAACATACCACAAGGAGCCGAAACTGTATCGCTGAAAAAGAAACGTGCTACACTGTCCAAGATATAAAAATAAAATATCTTATTCAATATTCAAGCGACTAATTATTTATTAACTACTGTTGTTGTCTTCATCTACCACCGCTTCGCCATTTTTTGTGCCATCCCAACATCATCATACTTTAAACCACGCGCAGGATATCTCACACTTTTTGTATTCGAGGATCTATAAGCTAAACATTTCTGTCTGTCCAACTTCTCTCTCGGTGTAGTAGATGCGCTACTATCTATTTGCTCGACTGGGGCGGCAACCCATGAGTTGTATTTAGACTGTACTACTGCCGTATAGAAATCTGAAGATTCTAACATATACGGCTCTACAACATTGATTGCTGGAATATTAGATACTATACTTGCTAAAATCCCACGATCTCTCCACGTATTCTTACGATCCGTACTGCCTGAGCTACTTAGTTCTCTCATCCTTTCAAGTACTGCCTGAATGTGTATGCACCCTTTTATGTAATGACAGGGTCTATACTTGGCGGGTATGGGTGTAGGGAATAAACATAGAGCGACATGTACCTCTTTGCAAACGTATCGCATGTGATTATTTTGACTCTCTTCAGTACAGATTAATCGAATAAGCATCTCTTGTGGGATATTATCCATACTTTTTCCCACTTTAGCAATAATATATAAAATTAAATCAGCTGATCCTGTCTCTGTGAAAGCGATTTTTAAGTCTAGTGTGCGTCATTTTTGCTGCTTATCCTGCCTGGTGGAGAAATACCCATCTTCCCGATCAAAGTAGTCTCTAATCACATCCTCCGTGACATCCTACATTTTCTTGGCTGTAATTCACTAGCTCCAATGTTGACATCTCAACCCTAAAATACTGATTACATAGTCTTCTGTATCAATAGAAGTGTAGCAGGATTTTGATGTATAGGTTTACAAGTTGTGGTTGCTATTCGAGAGTTAACATCGGCCGTGATATATGCGTATAACTGCCCCTTATTATATTTACGCGTTGAGGAATTGATAGACCGTGGGATGTAGAGTATTCTCGCAGCTGGATATTGCTCATAGCTCTAAAGTTGATTGGGGGCTTATTTCTCGTGAAGTTAGTGATTCTTCTTGATGTAGCAAACCTGAATCTCAACCCATTAAAAGCACTCCTAGAATTCAATTTTTGGTCCCCTTTTACCCAATAAATGCAATAGTTTTTACTCAGCACATCGTTTGCGATGTCATGGGACCAAGGTGTATACAATCCTGGTCCATACGCATTGGTATATGCTTCGTATATCGTAAGCTTTACACCTTGACCTTGATTTTTGTATGCTGATATAAATTGTTGGCCTTTAGGATCATAAACTGGCTGACGAAAAAAACATATACATAGTGTTGCGTACATCTTGTCTTCTATAAAACAATTTGTTTGGATCCGACATGTTGATGTTGTAAGATATCATCCACTGTTGTACGTCCAGCTCGTAAGTGTTTCAATTAACCCTTCACTCCAATACCGGTAGACGTTCTGTAATTGGTCTTTAACAGGCAAGCAGAAAAGAAGAGCATGTTATCTAAATCATACACACTCGTGTCGTGTAGTAACTTGTGCATGTTTGATGACCACTCTGCATCAGTGTTATTTCTCTCTATATATGCATCTAACTTCATACCCACATCGACGCGTTTGAATAATCTGCCAACTCCTCTGTATAAATTATTATCTATTATGATATTGTCACATAACAAGACAATATAGTCACTATCGTTACAATTACAATAGTCAACTAAACCACAACGCTGAATGTAGGCAATCTGCTGCTCGGCCTCCTGTGGAGCTAGAATGAAAGGTATGTCGTTTTCGGTGAGCATACTCATAACCATTCTTGCCGCCTGTAGATTATTCCTTATAAATACTCTCACCTTCATTAACGCCTTCGATCAACATGCGCTCCACTTCGGCGAGCGCATGCATGCGCTTTCTCAATCTCAATCCAACAGCATTCGCTCGTTTCGCACCTACTCTTTTACCGTCGAATACGGGTAGGACTGTATTTCCCTTACCCCAATTTTTAACTACATTTAACATTCGCCAAATATCTGTATTGAATCGTTCGTAACTGTCGTTCTTATTCTTAGAGCATATAATCTCTGTTGCGTGTACGTTTAGAATTATTTTTTTGGGCATGGACATATCTATTTATCACGCTATCTTCAATGTCAGTGAAAACTCCACAGGTGAATATACCCTCTGGTATATTCCCCAGTAGTGGGATCAACCCTTCGACACCCATATCGTAGTGTATGAAGGGATGTGAAAGCACACACCCATCATTTATTATGCGCACACGTGTAGTTTACAGTTTATTTGATTATTTATTGTCAGAGATGGTAGGGAAACGATAAGGAAAGCGATTTACGGACAATAAAAATTGATGACAACTATAAATAAAATCCGGGTTGAAAATGCCAACAAATTTCGTTCGCCGCTCCTATTGTCGACTCACTTGGCCCAAGCTTCAAACGGGAATTTACTGACCACTTCTTCCCATCAATCTTTCCTGAACCAATACAGCGACTATGAGAGCCATACCATATGTTCATACATTGTATCATACATACTTGCCATTTTTGAAATAAATAATATTATCCCTATTCTGAGTATGCACTACGCAGTTCATAATCAATTTTAAATTAACTAAATACAACACAAATCCCATGTTTTAAAAATAAACCAATTTGGATTTGGCATTGCAATTTTGTTTTTTATTGAAATAAATGTATTTACAGGCAAAAGGATAACTACCATGCCCTCTGGGGTACCCC